TGTGTGTGTGTGTGAGTGTGTGTGTGTGTGTGTGTGTGTGTGTGTGTGTGAGAATGTTGACGCACCTAACCGGTGCTCCGCGGCTCCGGGCTGGTTTCAGCAGAACAGTCACCCACACACACACACACACTCGGCTCTTACGTGAGATCTTGGTGGTGAACTGTGTGATGGTGGGGGGTCCGTATCCTTTGACGGTGCTGGCTCTGATGGTGAAGGAGTACGTGGATCCGGGATACAGAGCCGTGAAGACGTGAGACGTCTCGTTACTGAGCTTCAGCACCTTCCCGCTCTGATTGGACAGATTAAACTCAGGGTCGAAGGAGCTGACGGCCTTATAGAAGATCTGCAGACACACAAACACTCAATTATTTATGACATAAATATTTGTATTCTAATTTGTAGAGTCAAAAAATTATATAAATATTATTGTATTTTATTTTACAGTACAGTACAGTCATTTGCTACAGTAATATATTGCCGTCTTTATTTCTATAAAAGTTCAAACAATAAAAAAAAAAAAAATAAATAAAATAATAATTAACATAAATATTAGTATAGTGTAAAATAAAAGTATAATATAATGTACTTTTATAATACTATATTAATATAATGTAATTTTACAGTATTTAATAATAAACAGTTAAAACATTAATTACAATAAAATAATAATAATGTAACGCAGTGTATAATAAAATGTAATATAGCAGGATAATTTATATTACAATAATATATTAATATAATTTATATTTATTTTATAGTATAGTTGCAATTTACAACAGTAATACATTTTTGTCTTCGTTTTTCAAAGAGTTAAAATATAATGATAATTAAAAAATAAGAAAATAAAAATAATTAATATAAATATTAGTATTGTAACATAAAATTCTTATATACATATATAAAATATATAAAATACAATTCTTATATACATATATAATACAATTGTAATTTACACAAATAAAATATTTCTATTTGCATTTTTATAATTAGTTCAAATAATATGTTTATTATTATTATTATTATTATTATTATTATTATTATTCAACTTGATTGGGCTCCGAAAACACAAGAGTGAATTTAATGTGGACTTACACAAAATAATACATTTAATTCCTTATTAAAGAGTTAATTTTAAAGTCCAGCCACGAAGTCAAAATAAAACATTAACTAAAAAAAAAGAAACATTTGATCTATGTACTTGCATGTCATGTGACCACTAACAGACATCAGAGAAGCGGGAACATAAGAATGTTTCATGAAATTATTTAAATATTAACTTAAAATCGCAGGCGGGCTTGAAGTAAATATTTCATGTCTATGGCGTTGGGCTGACAAAAAGGTTTGTGAATCCCTGATGTAAAGAAATCAAGCGTTTGTCTCGAGCTTCAGAATGCAATAACAATCAGAGCGGATCGTGCAGAATAACGAGGAAGCGTTTCTGTGTATGATCGTTTATTATGATGGAGGAGCCTCACTTTTGTTCTCCTTCATTCTCTTCTGCTCGAGCGGGAGGCGAGACGAGAGCCAGACGCCCCGCGCTTCTAATATAACTTAATGAGAAGTAGCTGAGGGGCTTGATTTGAATAAATCATTCAGCTGCTAATGTGCGGCGCGGCTAATGCCACTCTATTCAGAGTCCAATTTAAGGCCACAAAGAGAGCGGCGATGGGACTCATCAGCTGTGAAATATCAAGTGGCTCTTTGCTATTAGTCTAAGACAGGTAGATGGATCAACACAGGAAAACGACCCCGGAATACCAAATCCCAGGAAATATTCCTGATAAATAACAATGCACAAACAATTCAGCAAGCAGGAACTGTGCGGCACGAATGCACAGGAAAATACTGCACTTATTAAACATCCAGTTCAAGCTGTAAAATCCTCAGAATTCAACCATCATTCACGTGTGTTTGTTTAGTCAGTATTTTGGCTAATTTGATGATGATTTCAGCTACTAACAGGTGTTCCGTTGAACATATTTACCATGTTTACAGGGAAAGTGTGCTGTTTCTATGTGGTACCAAATGGAATTGCATAATAATGTCTATATTTTCAAGCATGTTTCAAACACTCAGCAACCATTGGTCGGGCAAACAGATAGCTTGGTCAAAGCAGGAGTTTCCAAACAATGCAAAAAAATTCATTTTTTGTCTTGTTTCCAGCCAAGATATCTAAAAATTCTTAAATCAAGAAGGATTTTCTAGACAAGTAAAAATGGTCTTGTTTTCAGAAAAAAAACCAAGTCAAAATTAAGTGTTTTTCCTCACTAGCTAAATAATTTAAAACAGAAAACAAGATTATTTTGCTTGTTTAAAAAAAATCTAAGTAAGAAAAGTATTTTTTGCAGTGAACTGGCGTGCAGGGAAAAGTTTAGAGAAAAACAGGGTTAAGAAAAAACTAAACTAAATTAGTACTCTAAATAAATAAATATGATATTTAAAAAAATGAATAAATAAATTATAAATTATAGTAAAATAATAAAATGAATAAACATATAGTCATTAAATAAATATATTAAAATAAATAAAAATAAACTAAAATAAAAAATACAAATTATATTAAAGGAAAAGGAAAGGAAAGGATGTGACGTGTGTATTAAAATAAATAAATAATAATAAAAATTACATTAAAATAATTTGATAAGCAATACAAATTATATTAAAATAAATAAATAAATACCCCTAACAATACAGTCAAAAGAAAAAACCCTACTGTAACTTCTGCTTATTTTTATAAACTATTTATAAACTGAATATGTATAAATTGGTATAGTGTATAATAGTATACCTATTTAAATTAGTCTAAATTGGGTTTTTATCCATGAAATTATAGAACTATCTAACATTAGGGTTATAATAGTTAACTAAAACTAAAAACAAAGAATTGAATTGAAATAAAATAATAAAAAATAATAAATCTAATAAAAATGACAAAAACACATAATAAAATGACAAAAACATTAATAAAATTTTAAATGAAAATGGAAAATCTAAAAATAAAAACTAATTTAAAAATGAAACATATTTTTATTTCAGGTAATTGCAAAAGTAAAACTAAAAATGTATAGAAATTATATAGATATATTAAAAACAAATAAATAAAGAAATATATTAAAAAAACAGCAAATTGTGAAACCTTCAATAAAATTTAAAATGAAAATGGAAACTCTTAAAAAAAAAAATAAAATAGAAACTAGTTCAAACTATCAATAAAAACTATAATAGCACCTCAATGATGCTACAATAACACTGATTGACATGAGGATGATCATTATTGGGGGTCCATGTCACACAAATGACTGAAAACCCCTGGGTTTAAATCAGTTCTCCAAAATCCAGCAGATTTCTCTTCAACTGATGCAGAACCTGACACGAGACCGGAGTCAAATACAAACACACATGTGTGCAATTCATGAAGGCAATGGAGGCCTGACCCCGGATCAGCACATTTATCATCATCACATCATTACTGTGTTTCAGAGCAAAGCACTTAACCCAGAATGCACTGGGGCGACTCGCTGTCAGTGCAATTACTGCACAAACCCAAGCTCATCCGTGTGACGGAAAACACACCTGCATCGCTTCAACCCTGCAGAAACTAAACGCCACGGCGGAGCGACTCTAATGAGGCAGAACGCTTTTGTTTGGTCCTTTGCGAACGGCACCGATCGCAGCCCTGACACTTCCTTAACGGCGAGCGCGATGACAGAATGTAATTTCAGAACGTGAACCTGACAGCTTAATTGGTCGCATTTCCACAAATGAAGTTCTGCAACAATGAGTCTTTTGAGCGGCGCTTTGTTCTGAGTTTCCAGTCGCAGAATGAGTCACGCGCTTCAGAAATCATCACAAAACTCGGCACACAATGGAACAGCCAAAATATACCGTGCTTCAATAATAGACGGACTGAGACGGCGCTCGCAACACATTTCTCTTCACTTTGAGTCTTTGAGGGTCTTGCATTATGCAGATGCAAGTTTAGTCACTTGCTCACCAATGGATTCTGAATGGGTGCCGTCAGAATGAGAGTCCAAACAGCTGATAAAAACATCACAATAATCCACAAGTAATCCACAGCACTCCAGTCCATCAGTTAACATCTGGAGAAGACAAAAGCTGAAACTTAGAACATATTTTTATTAACTGGGAAGTTCAAGTGGCAATGTCCTCTCAAAATTATGAACAAAAGTTCTTCCAGTAACGTTATCTGGTCTTAATATCATTCTCAAAACGTTAGCACAAAAACATTATACATAATTCATGGAATGTTTTTTTTCCTGAAACGTTTTAGTTGAATGTTCATCTAACATTTTTTAAATGTTACTACTTGTTTCAGAACATTCAAAAGTAACATTCCCATAATGTTTGCAAAATTATACAATGGAAGGTTTCCTTAATGTTCGCATAACCAAGAAAGAAAAAAACATTCTTCAAAGTTTGTCAAATCCTAAACACTACACTCTTAGAACATTTCTCTCAAAACGTTATTCATACATCATTCGTGGAACTTTGTTTCAGTTGAACGCTCATCTAACGTTTTTTTAAATGTTGCGACTTGTTTCAGAACATTCAAAAGTAACATTCCTATCATGTTTGCAAAATG